CTTGTGGAACTCCCTCCCGACTCCGTGCTTTTCAGCCAACTTTAATCTGCAAAAATTTTAATGCAATGTCAATTGCTATCTACTGTCCTCCTGATTACTCTTCTTTTTTTTTTCTTTTTTTTTTTTTTTTTTTTTTTTTTTTTTTTTTTTTTTTTTTTTTTTTTTTTTCCTTTTTTTCTTTTTTTTTTTTTTTTTTTTTTTCTCGCAGCAAAGCAATGTTTGTGTTTCTAACCCTAACCCACACCTCGTAACCCCCCCCATGTGTCCAGTGGCTTTACTGCCTTGCGTGGGGCGAACTCGAAAAAAAAAACCCTCTACCGCGTCTTTTATACAGGGTGGCAATTAAGTCACTCTATAGTTACTTATAATTAAAAAAAAGCAAAACATTGAAATATGTGGCTTGCAGATCGAAAAGTATCGGTAATTAATTTACTATTACTTACCATGGCATTTTATTGTTATTAAACAGAATTAACCAGAACGATTTGAATAAAAACTTTCGGGACTTTGGATTAATTGCTTTGTTTTAATTGTTTTTGTAAGTAACTGTATAGTGACTTTATTTCCAACTCATATATATATATATATATATATATATATATATATATATATATATATATATATATATATAGATAGATAGATAGATAGATAGATATGGGGTGGCAATAAAGTCACTATACAGCTACTTATAATAAAAAGCATTCAAGCAGGTGGCTTGCAGTTCGAACAGTATCGGTAATTAATTTACAATTGTTTACTATGGCATTTTATTGTTATTAACCAGAATTAACCAGAACGATTTTAATAATAGATTTCTGGAAATTTGATTTAATTGTTATTGTAAATAACTGTATAGTAACTTTATTGTTACGAATTAAAAGCAGCCATTTTGAATTACTGAAACGAGTCTAATGCTATCCAACGAAAATCAAATTCTACAGATTTTGTGGGTGTGCGCGAATGTGTGTGTGTGTGTGTGTGTGTGTGTGTGTGTGTGTGTGTGTGTGTGTGTGTGTGTGTGTGTGTGTGTGTGTGTGAAAGAGAGAACGGGAAAGAAAACTGAAATGAACAGATCACCCAACACACGGCGTGATGCGGTTGAAGTTGGTTATAAAAATAGTCATGTAAATTGAAATCCAGTCGATTAACAGTGTAGGAGAGCAGGAAAAGCCCATCTCGTTAATTCCATATCATATAATGAACTTAATCGAGCACATGACATGCACGGGTTGAAATATCAGTAATTTTGGAAACAAGCTCTAACCATTGCCTAACGATAGGTACTCCACCAAAACCATATCTATCAAACATTTTGGTAGTGGGTGACAAGACTTTCGGATCAACCTGTATGGTTGGTCCGAAAGTCTTGTCACCCACTCCCAAAAAGTAATGAGAACATTAGAACAACAAAAATACAATAATACAAAGCACATGTACTGGATTTAGTTTATTCGCTTTCATTGAAGCTGTCACACATCGAGAAGGTCGGTATAAACACTATCATTTTCGCTTCAGCCACCTGAAATAGATAATTATATTATGTAAGGGTGACAAGATTTTCGGGCCACCCTGTATATATGATTAACACGAAGCTTTCATAAATCTTAACCCTGGTGTCAGGCATGTTTTGGAAAGCATAGCATTATTCCCTCAAACCCTAGCAGTACTTTTCACGACACTATCAGATTGTGTTGTGTTTCTGTCACCCTATGAAAATACCTTATACAAATTCAACCTCATCCTATCGTTGGTTTTGCATTGCTAGGTTTTCGGGAGCCACGTCGTCAGATTCCGCAAATGAAACGTTAATTCAAAGAATGGGAAACTGTTGATCGGTGAATGGCTAATCGAGACAAAGTTCGACATTTTATGCTACAAAGCAACTGCGGTATTTCATTTCTTTTCTTTTAATCCCGTAGTTCCAGCAAACAAAGAATAAACAAAGGAATTAAATCCTTATATTTACCTTGATAAATTTCATCAGAGGACGAAATACGTCGGCTAAGATAAGTTTTCCTTTTGTCTTTATTCATATTGCCCTTTTACAGATACATATTTTACTTATATCTGAAAATTTTACACACACTCACAAACACACGCTCACACACACACACACGCACACACACACATATATATATATATATATATAAATCTCTCTCTATATATATGTGTGTGTGTAAATGTGTATAAATGTATAACTAATGCATTGTTATATATGAGATTTCTCTTATGTTTATAAACATATTTCCATCCAATATCCTTATTATTTCATCCACGATGCTAAAAGAAAAAGATTTATAATACAGAATCGGAAAGGAAATAAAATAATAATAATAATAATAATAATAATAATAATGCAAAATACTTAAAAAAAAAAAAAGACAGCAAAGACAAATGCAACCGACCAGATACAGAAGCGATGGCAAGATAAGCCGCTTCATGGCCAATACTCTGCCCGTACCAAACAAGCTGACGTAGACAAAACCCGTACCAATCAGTGGCTACGTAGTGCAGGGTTGAAAGCGGAAACTGAAGGTTTTATCCTTGCTGCACAGGACCAATGCTTGCTAACTCTGAATTATCAAGCACATATACTAAAATATTGTGTCAGCCCAAAATGCAGATTCTGTGATAAGTATCCAGAAACGATTGATCATCTTGTATCAGGTTGCACGGTGTTGGCACCCACTGAATATAAAACTCGGCATGACAGACTGGGCCAATATTTGCACTGGAAAATTTGAAACTTCTACGGGAAAGAAACTGAAAGAAACTGGTATGAACACCACCCAGACCCGGTTACGGAGATAGAACCTGTTACAATTCTATGGGACTACACAATACACACTGACAGAACAATCAAAGCCAACCGGCCAGATATTGTTATTAAAGACCACAAACAAAAACGATGCCTCCTTATTGACATGGCAGTCCCTGCTGACTGCAATGTATCTTTGAAGATATTCAAAAAGTTGTCAAAATACAAGGACCTTGAAATAGAAATCTCGAAAATGTGGCATATGGGAACATCAACAATCCCTGTTGTAGTTGGAGCCCTAGGACTGGTTGCAAAAGATTGCAGTAGACTAATTGAAGGCATTCCTGGAAGTCCATGCCTCAAAGAGATACAAAAAATTGTTCTGACAAGTACAGCTCACACTTTACGAAGGGCTTTATCTATGTAATTTTTTTTTTTTTTTTTTGCAGGGGAAAGTGTCATGATGCCATTTCTAACCTTAGGTCCCTGGGCGGGACCCGGAATGAAATGTGTAAACGCCAGAAATCAAAGAAAATAATAATAATAATAATAATAATAATAATAATAATAATAATAATAATAACAGTTACGGAGATACGAACTTTAACAATTTTATGGGACTTCATAATGCACACACAGAACAATCAATGTTAATCGCCCAGTCATCGTTATTAGAAACGCAAAAAATGCTCCTTATTGATATGGCAGTCTCTGCAGACTGCTCTGTATCTTTGAAGATCTTCAAAAGGCTATCAGAATATAAGAACCTTGAAATCGAAATCTCGAACATCGAAAGACGTGGCACATGAGAACATCAATAATTCCAATTGTAGTTGGAGCCCTCAGATTGATTGGGAAAGAGTCCAATAAACTCATTGAAGGAATCCCTGGTAGCCCATGCCTTAAAGAAATACAAAAAAAAATGATTCCCACGAGTACAGTTCACACCTTACTTACAAAGGTCTTTATCTATGTAAATTATGTTGTTTTTTGGGGTTTTTTTTTTGTTATTTGGATTTTTTTTTAATTACCCAGAGGAAAAGGTCATGATGCCATTTCTGACCTTAGGTCTCTGGATGGGATCCGGAAAGAAATGAGTACACACCAAAAATAAAAGGAAATAATAATAATAGTAATAATAATAATAATAAAGGCCAACCGGCCAGATATTGTTATTAAAGACCACAAACAAAAACGGTGCCTCCTTATTGACATGGCAGTCCCTGATGACTGCAATGTATCTTTGAAGATATTCAAAAAGCTGTCAAAAACAAGGACCTTGAAATAGAAATCTCGAAAATGTGGCATATGGGAACATCAACAATCCCTGTTGTAGTTGGATCCCTAGGATTGGTTTGGAAAAGATTCCAGTAGGCTAATTGAAGGCATTCCTGGAAGTCCATGCCTCAAGGAGATACAAAAAATTGTTCTGACAAGTACAACCCACGCTTTGTGAACGGCTTTATATATGTATTTTTTTTTTTTTTTTTTTTGTCAGTGGAAAGTGTCATGACGCCATTTCTAACCTTAGGTCCCTGGGCGGGACCCGGAAAGAAATGTGTAAACGCCAGAAATCAAAGAAAATAATAATAATAATAATAATAATAATAATAATAATAATACATTAGATATCTATATATGTGTTTGCGCATAAAAGGTTGGTTCGGAGATGGAGTAATGGATAATGACACGGATTGCAGTTCGTTATCTTCATTTACATTCAAAGTGAGAAAGCGATGAATTCATCTATTCTCCCCATGCTCCGGTTAAATAGCAGAACAGATTGTGTCCTTGGGTGGCAATCGGTCTAAGACAATCCTGAATTCAAAATCCTAGGGAGGGTCGTTTTGGAAATCTTGTGACATATTTATTCGCCTCTTCCAAAAAGTGTAGTTGGTTCTGCACAAGGCTTCATTACTATAATCATATCAAATGTGTGGATAGTCTGCCGATTACCAGACACGGTGACGATATGTGTGTGTGTGCGCGCCCGTGTGTCTGTGTGTGTAGACATTGAGATCAACACACAACTGCGGAAGGCCTCTTGATGTTGACTTCAGTGTCAACTTCTTTGTCGCGGCTTGATGTTGACCTCAATGTGCACTTTTATATTTACATGCGCTCTATCTCTGAGACTGAGCACTTTTAACGCAAATATACATTACTTTGTAAATATCAGTAACATATTTCAGTTACGATTGTTACAATATATGAAAGCACTTTAGGTGGAAGAGGCTGTATGTTATCTGTGTACACAAAATCGCACACATATAGAACATAGAATAATTAGATAGATAGATAGATAGATAGATAGATAGATAGATAGATAATGAACTTACAGAGATAAGTAATGAACAGAGTGATATATATATATATATATATATATATATATAGATAGAGAGAGAGAGAGAGAGAGAGTGAGAGAGAGATAAATAGATAGATAGATAGATAGGATTAGACCTAGAGAAATAGAAAGAAAGAAAGAAAGAAAGAAAGAAAGAAAGAAAGAAAGAAAGAAAGAAAGAAAAACGGACATTGAAAGAACTGTATAAAAACAGAAATATTTGAGAATCTTTAAATTCCATCGGACCAATTTAGATTTTGGCCAAATTAACATAGATAGATAGATAGATAGATAGATAGATAGATAGATAGATAGATAGATAGATAGATAATGAATTTCCAGAGATAAGTAATGAACAGAGTGAGATAGATAGATAGATAGATAGATAGATAGATAGATAGATAGATAGATAGATAGATAGATAGGATTAGACTGAGATAGATAGATAGATAGAAAGAAAGAAAGAAAGAAAGAAAGAAAGAAAGAAAGAAAGAAAGAAAGAAAGATAAGGATTAGACTGAGATAGATAGATAGATAGATAGATAGATAGATAGATAGATAGATTAGACTGAGAAAGAAAGAAAGAAAGAAAGAAAGAAAGAAAGAAAGAAAGAAAGAAAGAAAAGCGGACACTGAAAGAACTGTATAAAAACAGAAATATTTGAGAATCTTTAAATTCCATCGGACCAATTTAGATTTCAGTGTCTTAGCTAAATTAAGAAGAGATTGTTTGAAAGGAAACCAATGGATATTTTTTTTTAAAATATAAGTATTTAAACATGACCAGATGTCTAATTCATACTCGGTATTCTAGTTCTGGAAATTAAATAATTTCTACGCATCCTTTTGTCCTTTCATCGAAAGATACTTAACCATCAGTCATATGCTCTTTTTTACTGAGTGAAAGATCAGTTCATCTCTGTGCTGTGCCGTACAACTCATCGATTCTCGACTTCAAGCTTTGACCTTGATCGCATGAGAGACTCTGTCAGTGATTGAACTTGTTTGCAAATGTCAAGGATCGAAGCATTAAAGCAGATTTAAAGTGTTAACTCATATGTGAAATGTTACAATTCATCGTGTTTTCAGCGGGGATTGTAAGTTGCCCTTTTGAGATAAACCGTTTTCTTATGGCGACATTTATTCATATATTTAACTTCATTAACTTTACTCATCCATTTGTCATCGCTTTTATATCTCCCATTGTTTTGCCGCTTTTATTTTTGTCGGGTTATATTTTCTTTAAAAACAAAGAGTGATTGTTTTTTTTTATATTTCTGCTTCTTATTTCATTTTCATTTTATGAAATGAGATTTTCAAAATGAACTTTACACATCAAATATCCGAAAATAAAAAAAAAGAACAACGAATAAAAATGTCATAGAATATTTCAAAATTCACACTAAAAAATTCTAAAAATGTTCTTTCTCTATCTCGCACACTTTCCCCAACTGACTCTCTTTCTCCCTCTATCACTGTAAGAAGCACTCTCTTACTTACCGTGAAAGTGGGGTTTAAAATACACCGACTGTATCACCTGCAGTGGAATTCGGCCCCTTAAAAGGAACCAACTTTCAGGTAGATCGTTTCAAATTCCAATATAAAACCAACAAATATCTACCTTTTCCAATCAAGTGTAAACTGGACATATGTATATCATTTTTTTATTCTAGTCTCAATAGGACCTATGTTTACCTATTTTCCCCTACTATAAGACAGCCTCATTACTGCTTCTTTACAATCAGTGTAATTCCTATGTATATCTAATTTTTATAACTGGTATAAAACGTTCCTCTGCCTCCCTTCAGGTATAAAACGGACATATGTCTACCATCTTGACTCTGGTATAAAATGGACCTACGTTTACCGTCTTGATTGCTATATCCCGTACCTATGAACACTAATGTGTATGTCCCAATCCTTATAAATACGTTGGACACTATTGTAAGTGGGGCTTAATATGCTGTATAAGTAGTCCACCACTGGCAGTGGTTTACCTACTTCACGCCGCTGGCGAGCAATCCTCATAAACACGTTGGACACTATTGCAAGTGGGGGTTAATATGCTGTATAAGTAGTCCACGACTGGCAGTGGTTTACCTACTTCACGCCGCTGGCAAGTATTGTAGTTTGTTGATGTTATAAAGATTACCATTTCATTTCCAACCCCCGTTTTGTTTATTCCTCATTAAGTCACCCTTTCTAGGTTACAACATTGACTATGTTTACCTTCATGGACCTATGTTTACCTTCTTGACCCTGGCATAAGCTGGACTTATGTCTACCTACTTGACTTTATATAAAACTGACCAATGTCTATCGTCTTAACTTTTGTATAAAACGATTCTATATCTAACTTCTTGACTCTGGAATAAAGCAGACCTATGTCTACCTGTCTGTTAATTCAGTGTAACGTTGTCCCATAAGACATATAATGCTGTTAAATAACTTTTGATTTGTCTTTAAGCTGACCTCCCAAATTATCATTTTTTTCTGAAATCACTATTGCCTTTAATTTTCAAAATAAATCAGAAAATTTCATTTTCGGTAATATTTTACGATATACTTGATTCTCAAACTTTATATAAGCCTTACACGCGAAAAGATCCTATTGGTCACTTTTCTGTTTATAAGTACGTGCGAATAACAAACAAACAAAAAACTGTTTATTTAAAACCAAAACAAAATTGAAAAAAAAAATCCTGCAGATGTATATATACATTTTATGAGAAGGTCAATAAAAATATAAAACATTTTATATTTGTTTAATCCACCCGGAATGTCTAATATTTGACTTAACCCACATTTTTCTTTATTTTGTAACAATCCGCCTGTTTCTTTTAGCATGATTGAAAAATCCTACCTCTGCTATCACACACACATACACATAAAGAATGAGAGCGTATATACCATATATTTCCGCGTATAAGGCGACCATTAAATCTTAAAAAATAGGGGGTCGTCTAATACAACAGCTACAAAAAAACTAACCTTAAACCCAGTTGTATATCATCACTGGTAAGTACGCTCGTATGCTTGTGCATGTATTATTATTATTACATTAGAGCTATCAGTGCGTTTGCTCCAATCATTCTTATCATATTAGTGTTAAAGGCATTTAGGATAACATAAAATCTATATTTCGGTTTAGCTTTCATTATCTTTGTGCAGTTAAATAATGACATTTATACTTTAGAGTATAACATGCAAAATCTCTTTTTCAGTAACATACATTACACGGAACTTTTTGTAGTGTCAAGTAACAAAACATTTAAAATACCATAAAATCTTTATTCCTCATTACAGAATAAAAACATACGATGCCAACATACAAAATGAAAACCTTTTAAAATTACTATGATCTTCACTATCTGATGCAAAGATCTCATCATAAACATCGTCATTTATAGTGTTGTGGATTCCGAGATGAAATTCGTTCTCCAATGAATGACAAACGCAAGAATTAAACATAAGAAATTAAATGTATTTACACAATAATACAATGGGTAATACTGTTAGTAAATCCAGGAACGCCGTTAGTAGGAATAATAATAATAATATATATATATATATATATATATATATATATATATATACAGTCTCGAAGTAGGACTTCCTTAGAGTCTACGTGCTTGTAACTGTGACTTCTACAAGCGGTTGCCTCACACTATTACTCTAACTCCAACTCAATCACAATCTCTGCTCACTCTCTCAATCTCTCTCTATTCTGACTGACTGTGGGTATTTAACGGCAGCAGTCCAAGTAACACTCTGGTGGAGTGCACTTATATGAAAAGGGGGAGGACCCCATAACATATAGTTTCGTCAAATGAGTCCTATTCGGTCGTCTTATACTGCGGATATCAGATAAAATCACGAAAATTTACCTAGATTTTGGGTCTCGTCTTATACGTGGAAATGTATGGTAAATATTTTATATTAGATTCTAAATATTTTTTTTATTCAGATCTAATTTATTTTCCCCGGGTCCATATTTATCAGAATGTTATGTTTTTGCTTTGTTTTGTTTGTTTTTAGTTTGATATAATATTTATTTTCGTTTTGTTATGCTGTAGTAGTTCCGTCAGTTTTACGTGTTAATATTTATTTAACAAAACAGAAAGAAAAAGTCACCGGATGGAAAATAATCTTTCTAGTGCTGAAATGTGTTTTATGACACTTTCCTTGATATTAATTCATCTGAAAAAGAATGCTGACATTAACTGTTTTTTTATCCAAAACTGTTGACCAAAGAGAAAGGTATAGAACAAAATACACACACACACAAAAATAACTCTTGCATATTCTCTCTTCCTCACTATCTCTCTTTTGCTCACTTTCAATCATTAATAAATATTAGCTCTCATCATTTATTAGAATCTTTCTCGCCCTCTCTCTTTCACTCCGAGAGTCACTATCTCATTCTATAACGCGCAAGCACTTGCTTTCATTACTTAACATTCACTTTCACCCTCACTATCCACAGTAGAGACACACAGATTCTCTCTCTCTCTCTCCCCCCTCTCTCTCTCAAGAACTAGCTGTGTCTCTGTCACCATATTTTTCCTCTGGCTTATTAAAACACCTTCTCACTCTTACTCCCAATAAGTCATACCCTAACCTATAGACATACTCTCACAACCTTATTCATTGTTTATCTCATTCACTCTCTATCTCACATTTTATGACTCTTTATCTCTCACTCTCTCTATTTCTCTCTTTTTCTCTTACTCGATCATCCTCTATCTCTTCCTCTAACACTTCCTCTTCATACTCTCACTTTTCACGTACTTTCTCGCTCTTACTCTCACTACGTCACTTAGTCATACTCTAACATACAAACACAAACTCACTCTCTCACACACTGTTTATCTCACTCACTATCTCTGACTCTCAATATCTATTTTTCTCTCTCTATATATATATATATATATATATATATATATATACATACATACACACACACACACACACACATATATATATATATTCCTCTATTTCTATCAATTTTCTCACACTTTCTATATCTCTTATACCCGCATACGCCTTTTACTTCCAAAAATAATTTCTCACTCTTACTCTCAATAAGTCACACACACACACACACACACACACACACACACACACACACACACACACACACACATATATATATATATATATATATATATATATATATATACATATATAGATAACTATACTCGTTTGAAAAACCCTCGAATTTTTGATTTGCCAATAATCAAATCAATCTCGAGGGAAAAAAGGTTTTAACAATTAGAAAGAGCTACAAACATGAAAGTCTGTCGAAAAAAATCGCACAAATGCAGGTTTGTAGCCCAATGAAAAAAAAAACCGATACGAGTAAACAACTAACAAAAGAGCTCAATACAACCGTGTATATATATATATATATATATATATATATATATATATATATATATATATATACATACATACATATATATATATATATATTCCTCACTTTTCTATTCTATCACTTTTCTCACGCTTTCTATATCTCTCATTCAAAAATCATTTCATTTCACACACACACACACACACACACACACACACACACACACACACACACACACACACACCTAGGCAAATTCTTCGGTGCTTTAATCAATGCCGAAGTAGTTTTTTCTGTCCTCCTACGATTTGCTCTATGACAAACAATATGGTTTCTGCATTGTCCGGTCTACTGCTGATGTGTTTACGGCCATACCTGAATATGTATAACAAGCTCTTTATAATAACGACGAAGGTGGAGCTGTGGCTCTAGATATCTCTAAGGCGTTTGACAGAGTTTGGCATACTGGCCTTTTACGTAATCTTCACAGATACGATATAACAGGACGATTATTTGATTTAATCTAATCATTCCTGTCTAATCGGGAAATGAAGGTTGTCCTGAAAGGATTCTCTTCCAGTTCCTTTCATACGAATATCCTTGGTCCTACAATGTTTCTGATCTTAATCAATGATCTTCATGACGTCATCAGTTCTCAAGTTGGCATCTACGCAGACGATACTACCATTTACTCCTGTCGCACTAGTAAATTCGACATTGCCGACAAAGTTAACCTGGCCGTTGGTCTCGAAAACGAACTCCAATCTGTGGTTGACTGGATCAGGAAATGGCATGTGAATTTTAATGCATCTAAACCGAAACTGCTGTCATTTACTCAACATGGAAAAACGTCCCTGCCTCCTATCAGCATGGTTGATGCTCATCATTACGAGATCGCCTCATTGCGCCTCATTGCGCCTTCTGGGTTCTCCATTGACCTGAGGTGGAATAACTACATTGAATCAATTGCTGCATCTACTGCAAGGAAAGTTGGTTCTCTGTGTCGCGCCAGAAGGCTTTTCTCGTCTGAGTCCATCCTTTACATCTACAAATCTACCATTCGTCCATTCATGGAATACTGTTGCCATATATGGTCTAGTGTCCCCCGCTGTTCATCTCGAGGTTCTCGACAAAAATCCAAAGACAGATATACAACGCGATCGGTTCTGACTTGGGGTCCCGACTCCAGTCACTTTCTCACCGACCTAATGTGGCTTTCCTCTGTCCTTTTCTATAAATATTTTCATGTTATTTTCTCTGACAAGGTATTTTCACTGGTTCCCGATTGCGTGAATTTAAGCGAGCTACTAGGTTGGCATCTAGGTCCCAGGCATTTTGCTGTCGAAACAGTTAAATGTAACCGCCTCTTCTACTCCAACAGCTTCTTCTCGCACTTCCCGACAGTGGAACTCACTTCTTTTTACTTGCTTCCCTGATAATTATAATCTTCAAAAATTTAAATGTAATGTCAATCGACATCTTCTGTTGCCTTGATCCTCGTTAATGTTTTTATCCTTTCCCTAATACCACCTTTATACCGAGTCTTCTCTCTTACTTACACTCTCTGTAGGCCCTTGTGTACTAGTGCACTTGCACTTTGCTTGGGGTGAACTGCTTAAAAATAGAGAGAGGGAGAGAGAGAAAGAGAGAATATATATAGAGAGAGAACTGTAAACAGAATTATTCAGCCCCACTGAATATTTGCATATTTTCTAAGGAATTGCGAATATTTGCAAGTACTGCATTTACCATAAATAGCTGGTGCCGTATTTAGTTTTGAATAATTCATGAAATTTCATCAGAAACTTAGTTCTACAGAAGGGTGCTGAGAATACCATGAACGGAACACATGAGCAACGACGAAAATTTTAAAGAAAACGGAAACGAAAAAGACACTAGCCCCAGGAAGCTGAAATGCCTAGGGCACATAATGAGGAAAAAGGGCATGGAAAATTTGACACTCACAAGACTTATTGAAGGCAACAGGAACCGTGCGCATAGCTTACCTAACAAATGTTGTGTAAATGGTTGAGAAGACACAAATTAGGAGATATAATGAAAAGGCAAATCTTACTAAAAGCTACAAAGGACGGGAAATTGTGGAGAGCCATGATCGTCCACGACCTGAAGGGACACGGCAAGAAGAAGAAAAAGACGAAAAAGAAAAAAATGTGTAATAAAATAATCCTTCCACGGGGAAGATTATTTAATAATTTTCCTACCAAAATAAATTCTATGCCAAATGGCACGGTAATGGACAAAAGAAATATTATGTCGGTGCAAAAATAATGTCGTTTTTTGACGTTAAGTTGAACGTCAAGAAACGACATTATTTTTGCACCAACCTAATAATTTAAACGTGCCTGTACCTGTATTTTGGCGCACAATTTCTTGGCATCAAAGAAGAGACGAATGAATTCTGGGTAAAAGAAGACATTAGGAAAGACCGAAGACAAAGACGAAAAGAAAAAAATTACAGAAAAAGAGAAAACTGATACTGATATTTTTTGTTGTTGTTGTTGTTGTTGCAGCTAAATAAGAATTGAAAGATTGAAACTACAATCGTAAACCAAAGAAAACAAGGAAAACACTGAAGCCTTTTTTTTCTGCTATGGATTATCCGCAAAATAAAATCCGCTTTTAAAGACATGAGGATTTTACATGCAAACTTTACAAACTATGGCCTTTATTCCAAATTTTTTTCCATGCGGCTGACACACCAAAACTACAAAAAAAAAAATATAGTTTGCATGATAAAAGTTCATGTGGATCGAACGGTCGGCCGAGTACAAAAGATCTCGAGAAAGATGCAAATATATATATTTAATTATATATATATATATATATATATATATATATATATATATATATATATATATATATATATATATATATATATATATATATATATAAGAATGTCGATATCCAAAGATAACATTATATTTCCTCAACAATACATATAGATAACAAAATAGAATTTTTTTCTACCTTTTATTGTATATTTCAAAGAGTAGTTTTCTCTGTATAGATGAAAGACAATCGGAAAAGTGAATGATAGCAGAAGAGGTTTTCCGTACAAATTAGTTTAACTCATGTATTTTTTTTTTCTATATTCATTATGTGTTTCTTCTAAGGACTTTTTTCGCATACTATAGCTGTGTAGACGATGCCAAGCTAAAGTAAAGGGCAGCGATTAATAATGGATAAATGTTATTTTATCATTTCTCTCTAATGAGCTTAGTTTAGTCTTACACGGGGCCAAACAGCTCAAAAGAGAAAATCCAGGAAGACTGAATTAGGAACTACCGCTTTGTAAATCCGGTTTTTGTTTTGTTTAAATTGGATTATTTTTTTTAACGTTCTCAAACGATAAGCGCTGGAGTCACCGGGAAAAAAAGGTCAAGAGGTTAGTATGATGTGCAGGTAGCGTCAGGGTTATCGGACAGTAAAATGAAATTCACAATCAGGCTTCTAGTTCTGGCATTGTTTGTTGCTTTCACGTCACACTAAGGCCCGTAGAAAAGGCGTGGTTCCGTTTATTTTCCCCATCCAACCAGCTGTGAGTTAAATCGCAAAGTAGACTGTGCCGTATAGCCTTGGTTAGCAGCTACTGTATGAAAAGGACAGCTATACATTCAAAACCATTGAGAAAGTAACATATGGTTGTTATACTCACAATGTTTCAATCATTGTACCTTACAGCCTTCTTCAGGTGTCAATCTTCATATTTAAACTTTTAACAGTGTCTTTCTAATTGTTGGGAGTCGTTTCCTTGGATTACCTAAACACCCTGAAACCTCCTCGTTTCTAAAATTCTCTGTACATTGTATTCTCAGGATTCTTGTTTCGAGTGCATTCTTCACCTTTGAGTTAATTGTTCAACTCTCACTGACATGTGTAAAAATTTAATACTAAATAGCAGTCCAACACACATTTCTTGGTATCTGTCGGCATTTTCTATCCCTTAATACTAGAGTTTGTCTATATTTCTGAGATGAGGTATTATGTACAGTATTTACATTAGTCGGACTATTGTCCTCATCTTTGTCGCCATATTTGTCACAACGTTTCGGCCGTTGTACGCTCCGGCCTTCTTCAGGTGGTTGGAATTTCGAACTGAACCCTTTATTTCGATCAGTTATCAGTTATCTTTTCAGAGCGGATCCCAACTTTTTCATCGAAAAACAAACAGGATTAAAATTTAATCATTAAATTGTTGTTGTTGTTGGACTTGATATTTCTTTCTAAAGATCGACAATATTTTGTAATCAAATAAAACTTATTATTTTTAAAGAAAAATAAAAAAGATTAATCATTTAAAAAATGGATGGCTTGTACTAACCCGAGGAATGATCGGAAACTGACATCCATCAAAACATGGCACGTGGAATTAGAACAGTCTACCCCAGTGTTCGAAATAAAGGGTTCAGTTCGAAATTCCAACCACCTGAAGAAGGCCGGAGCGTACAACGGCCGAAACGTTGTGACAAATATGGCGACAAAGATGAGGACAATAGTCCGACTAATGTAAATACTGTCCCCTTAATACTATATTTAGTTTCTGAAAGGCACCTTTCGTTATTCCTATGTGCCTTCGTATTTAAATAAACAAATACCCAGCAACTTCCTTAGTATAACTTACGAGGAGATGCTCTAAGACTTCCGGTTCAAATAAGAAAGAATTTTTTTAAAATTCCGACATTTTGTCACGTGGTCAGAGTAAAGGAGATTAGATTAACCAAATATTTTTCAGTAAGATTTTGAATTCTTATTATTCTTATTATTCTTATTCTTCTTATTCTTCTTATTCTTCTTCTTCTTATTATTATTATTATTATTATTATTTTTATTTCCTTTGATTTCTTCCCAGGTCCCGACCAGAGACCTAAGGTCAGAAATAACATCATGAGAAATTCTGAAAAAATATCATACATTTTACATAGATAAAGTCCTTCATAAGGTGTGATTATTATTATTATTATTATTATTATTATTATTATTATTATTATTATTGTTGTTGTTGTTGTTGTTGTTTTTGTTGTTGTTATTGGATGATCTGTCTGGGTGTCGGAATTCCAAACTATTTTGCGATTTTTATTCACACTCGGACAATTTTCCTCATCGTTGCTGGTATTATCTTAACGTTTCAGCCGCTGTACCTTCCAGCCTTCATCAGTAATCGTGAATGAATTATGAACTGAATCCTTTATTTAATCAACGAGGATACATTGTTCTCGTTTCCGCTGACCATATTCAGGAATATCTCGTCTTGTTCGTATTTACAGCTAATCAGTTATTACTCTCTCTATTTCCACTGAATCCGAGTCTGCACTACTCGGCCATAGGATTTAAGCCACAGTTACTAACGAAGTAAAGTAAAGAACCAACGCTTTAATCTACTAGGCTCCTGCTGTCAGTCCGGGTTCCCGTAGAGCTGAAAATCAAACGACATAGATATGAGCCAGTTTTTACCTGAACAGGTAAATGATGCAAACTTATTATTCTAATTTTTATAGTTAGAACGGACACAAAATATACAATATTTCCACCTGAAGTAAAAACTGATATGGGTACACTAGTAGCAGCCACAGTCAAACACAAAACCAGTCTGCCAATAAAAAAAAGTTGTTTTTTTTTTTTTTTTTTTTGTTTTGTTTTTTTGTTACTCATTTCACCCCAAGGAAGAAGGCAAAGCCTCTCAGGTCGTTAAAGAAAGTGAAAGTGAGAGAAACAATTGGGTATAGGAAGGATTGAGGAAAGAATAAAATATTTTTTTTAAAAAGTTGTGGATTAGATTTAAACTTAATAAGGTGACTTTTTCACTCTTTCTTTTTTTTTAACATTAAGGTAGTGTCATTCTACGGCCATCTATAAATTGCATTTGTTGAGTTTCTTTTTGGTTTGTTACGGAATTGCAGTAGGGAAATTTGCGGACAGGCTGGTAAGTTGTTTTTTTTTTCTGAGTTATCTACCCTTGTCTTTTATCATTGTTTCTTTACTTATCTCCATTTACAGGCCGTCAACTTCACCGAATGCAACTCCGCTGACGACCACAAAATAGACAAAAGTTCCACCCGAAGCAAAACAGATAAGCAGATTGTAAGTAAAAGCAACGAATGTTTTCAGGAATTTTTAAAGAACTCGGCGAAAGATCACAGGAATAGTATGTATTGCCTCTGAATATGTCTTTTAGTGTGCGTCATTATAAACTGCATTCACATGTTTTTCTCGTTACATATTCTTACCTTGGTAGAAAATTATCAGAACTATGCTTACAAGGTCTTAGATTAGCATGTTTGGGAATGGCGTGTCTATTTACAAAAGATATTTCTTCATTCAGTTATGTGCCATGCGTGGTACGCTCTTAGACGATCATGTATCTTTCGATACATGACTGACGAGGCAGATTTTTTCCCGCAGTAGGTTGCTATGAACGAATAATAACGTATCCAAACCTCTTCATCTCAACCTGCCCAGACAGTGCTAACGGGAACGAGCTGTTACTCCTTTTGTCAGCCGTTCCAGGATCCAGACTTAATAAACCAGTTTTAATTGTATGACGTAGCCGGAATAAAATTCTGATGTGTAATAAACAAGGGTTTATTTTCGTCGACGCTCCGGACAGGCCAATCGGCCGCTGACAGCCGACGCTCAAATACCACTCATTAGTACCATCCACGTTGATCACCATCTACTGCCATTCAAATCTGGTGAGGAAATAGCAATAAAAAATAAAATAAATGACTTTTAAATTAGAAATAGCAACGTCTGTTTATGGGAAGAGTTCTTTTGCAATTAATTTGACGAGGTGTCATGGACGCATACCGTCTACAGTAGGAAAGTTGCAGTCAATCTCTTGCTACTGCGTGGAGAAATAGTCTTGACACTTCGAACTAGACGATAATTGTGGAGTGTGTATCCAGGCCTTGTTTATATATTTCAGGTTACATTGTGGTCTTGAGTTCAATCCCTAGGAAGGAAAACCATGTTCAGTGAAATTAATAGAACGATCCACACAGAGAATTGACTCGTATAAGTTATCTCCCGTAACGCAGTCAATGAAAAGGGTAAAATTAATTTCTGGGGATTTAAAGAAAAGGGTTCCGTTAGAAATTCTCAGAAGGTTTCAGAATCTGATAGGTACATGATGAAGGAGGATAAAACGAATGAAATTGTCACAATTACAATCAGGCTATGAGGACAACAGGAATAATGTCATGATATTCCTATGAGATATCAGATTCTATGACACGTCGCGTCGGTTAATCTGTCAATATAATGAACTACATATCATTATGTAGCTGCTTTTAAGTATTTGGCAATTCCTTTTGCATAAAACAAAATTTCAGCGTTTGTTTGATACATGTTTACCCCCCTCCTCCTATATACAGGGTGTCCATAAAGTTCGTGCGCACATTAAAAATTTATAACTATATTTGTATTTGCGATAGAAATAATTTGTAAAAAGGATTAGAAAGTAAATCTATATTTTTTAAGCTTTTATTGAAATTTTATTTAAGTTTCCACATGTCCTCCATCATTAGCAAATACAAAGGGTAATACGATTTTGCAGTTCACGGAAAACATTTGTCAACTGATTTACAGTAATGTCTGAAAATCACATTAGTTATTTTAGCTACACTTAAAACTAAATACATTAAACTTTATAACATTTTTACAGATTATAAGTGAATATCACATGCCTGGCTGGAATTCGAACTCATCTTTCCGATTTCCCATTTCACCAACCACACATCCCCTCTCTCCACAAACATCTAAAGTGCGCAATGTCTCTAGAAATTAAACTATGACAGAGCTGTTACAATAGCAGACCCCAAACACTTATGTACTCTACCTAGTCTGGAAAATGGGAACTTGTCAGCAGTACTCCGTTAATTGGTTTGATTTGGTTCTTCTAAAAATGCAGCACTGAAGTAGGAATCAGGTACTTTCTGAATCGTTATTAGGAACCAACCATTTTTCCCCAGCATCTTAACCGACGGATCGTATAGACGAGTTCTACTTGAGATCTTGCGTGAACTTGAGCCCCGATTGGCATTCAATTGGTTTTCTACCGATTATCAACCCTTTGCAGATTATTTGAAGCCAGACAATATTTTTAGATTGTAAGAATTTCTTTTATATGAATAATGAATTAGTGATACAATACTTACTAATTAACCCATAGTCAGGGGTTGGAGAAGAAATGGATTCATACCTCTTCCAACGGTATTTGCGCGAAAGGGAATATAATTAACCCCACTGGAATTGGAACTCGGTTCTCAGATCCCGAAACAATTATCCATTACACCACCCGCACATCCGGAGTTTACAGCCCTGGTATTCCTAGGCGGTCACTCATCAAGTTACTGACCAGGTCCAATGTTGCTTAACTTCAGTGATCGTACGGGGACCGGTAAGCCAATAGGCGTAGAAGTCAAGGATCTTCCTTGAGTGAACTATTCATCATGAAAGGTGAACATCCATGATCTGCTTGGTGATATTATTAGAGAAATAAAAGACAGAATGTTGTGGAGAGCCTTGATCGCCCACATGGTACATAAAAGAAGTAGACAATTTTCTTACATCTATATAGTACATTATACGACATACGTTAGCACTAACATATACGTTGTCCTTTATCACCAGTATTTTATGATCTCGTTTCGACATTTCAACTGTCTACCATTCTATATTTCCTTTAAAGCGTTATATTTTATATATGTACAGGTGGAGTTGCAACTACAGATGAATATCAATCATTTTATTTGCTTTCTCTCTCTCTCTCTCTCTCTCTCTCTCTCTCTCTCTCTCTCTCTTTTACACACACACACACACATTGGTTACACGTCCCTCAGGCAAGGATTTCCACAACCTTGCGTACCTTTCTTATGCTTGTTAATCAACTTTTAATCAGGCTGATATCGACTCACGTTGGCTTCATGATTTCTAAAATGGCTACGTCCGAAAGCGTTGAATCCAATTAGAGACAGGACCTCATTTTCAGTATGACGCATAAAAATTAAGCAATGTGATAGAAAGCCGAAAAATTGGATTGCAGGTGTGCAAGAATTTCAAAATGATACGCTGATATTTAACACTAGTAATCTTTTATAAAGAAGACATAATAAAGAATTTATTCAATTTTTAAAAACTAGTTCATATATATATATATATATATATATATATATATATATTTTTCATATATCATATTTGTTATACCTGACGTACCTATTCTATTATTAATAGACTCTCCCACACATAACTTGTCAGCAGTACTCCGTTAATTGGTTTGATTTGGTTCTTCTAAAAATGCAGCACTGAAGTAGGAATCAGGTACTTTCTGAATCGTTATTAGGAACCAACCATTTTTTCCCCAGCATCTTAACCAACGGATCGTATAGACGAGTTCTACTTGAGATCTTGCGTGAACTTGAGCCCCGATTGGCATTCAATTGGTTTTCTACCGATTATCAACCCTTTGCAGATTATTTAAAGCCAGACAATATTTTTAGATTGTAAGAATTTCTTTTATATGAATAATGAATTAGTGATACAATACTTACTAATTAACCCATAGTCAGGGGTTGGAGAAGAAATGGATTCATACCTCTTCCAACGGTATTTGCGCGAAAGGGAATATAATTAACCCCACTGGAATTGGAACTCGGTTCTCAGATCCCGAAACAATTATCCATTACACCACCCGCACATCCGGAGTTTACAGCCCTGGTATTCCTAGGCGGTCACTCATCAAGTTACTGACCAGGTCAGTAGTAGTAGTAGTAGCGGCCGACAGTTGGGCTCAGTGGTGTTGAGCGAGTCAGACGATATCGGACATTGAATTACCAACCATCACAACTAGATTGTTGCGTCATTAACTCTTATTTCCAAGTTCCTAACGTTTTGTACGTCGAACCTAATTTAGGACGAATTATTGAAATACAAGCCTCCATTATGAAAATTACTCTACAACAATATTCCACTATATATTTGTGTGTGTGTATGTGTGTGTGTATATATATATATATATATATATATATATATATATATATATATATATATATATATATATATTTATATTTTATCTGTGGGACCACCTAAAACAATTTGCTTATGAAGCATACATTAATAATGCAGAGAGGCTTCATCGACATTTTATGGGTGCCTGCAAAATCATTTGACACAATGTGGGAGTATTTGAAAAGGTCCGCCAGTCAATCATCCGGCGGGTGCATGCATGTGTAGAAGCATGCAGAGGACATTTTGAACATTTGTTATGAGTTGCTGTGTTGAGGTTCAACGATGAGTTTTTGAACATATGTTTATATGGACATTTTACCTTATTTTGATGTCAGGAACCTCTCCCAAATTTTGGAAAAATATTTTGATACACCCTGTATATATATATATATATATATATATATATATATATATATATATATATATATATATATATATATAGTCAAACCCTAGTGAGCCAGACAAACCTACGGATCATCAGAGCCAGCTTTCCCTGACGAATCCGCTTAGGTGAAACCTGGGTAGGTTTGTCTGGCTCATTAGGTTTGACGAGGTCTGCTCTACGGTTGTATTGAGCTCTTTTGTTAGTTTGTTGTTTACTCGTGTCGGTTTTTTTTTCTTTGGGCTTTGAATCTGTATCTGTGCGATTTTTTCAACAGACTTTCATGTTCCTGGCTCTTTCTTTTTTTTAAACCTTTTTTCCTTCAAGATTGATTTGATTATTGGCAAATCAAAAATTCGAAGGTTTTTCGAGACGAGTATAGTTACCTATATATATATATAGAGAGAGAGAGAGAGAGAGAGAGAGAGAGAGTGAAAGAAAGTCGTATACATGTATTTACATGTAAATATAAATAGCTATATAATAATGATTTACTTACAAGCGTAAATATATGTAGAAATCTATATGTAAGTAATTATAAATTTATATAGGTATCTGCAAATATATATATATATATATATATATATATATATATATATATATATATATACTAATGGGGGGTAAACATTTTGTGAAGATATCTCCCTTTTACAAACGAACAGGGAAAATTTGTAAATTGTATTTGTAAACGTCGTTGTTTATTTAATGTAATGAAGTTTATATGTCTGAATGTTAAAGAAATATGTCACGTGATTTCAAAATGCCTTAGTGCTTTTTTGAGGAGCGTCATCGAAGTTGCTATAATATGATAGCTAATGAACCAATTAAAATATCACAATAAATGCAAACAATAAATAGATTTACATTTTTACTGTTTAAAGTTTTAGAAAACACCATTCTGGAGAAAATCATTAATAAACTTAATAGACATTTTAATGTAAATACATTTTCAGTCAGGTGTGATTTCTCGACAAATTACAAGAGCTAATATACATCATGTTTATTATGAGATTTCTCTAAATTAAATAAATAAATTAAACTAAATAAAACATAAATAAAATGAATAAATAAAGATGATCATGCCTAAAATCTACAGAAACTCGATGCCAATGTCTTTCCTAATTATAGCATTTATAATTACATACAGTTGGAAAAATAAGGGGGAAACTGCTACCCAATCTCTAACTACTTTAAAAAGTTAGCTTCACTTATATTACAATTCATCTCTAACCAGCAGGAGTCTCGTTCATAGCTACAATTTCGTAACAAAATTAATGAAACCTATAAAGGAAAAGGGAAAGAGAAAACAATTAAAATATTAATAACATTCCATAAAATAATGATACACCTGAAATAACAAGATTATTTTTCGAAAAATTAATTCCATATAACAATATATAAAAATAGTTTTAAACGCATCATTTTTTCTTTTTCAATGTGAATGTGATATCATTTTCATCTTTTGTAAGTATCAGGACAAAAGCATAAAATATGGGCTCATTATTTATCGCAGTATGTGCGAACAGAACTCCATCATTATCATTATTATTATTATTAATATTTCCTTGCATTTCTGTTGTATACACATTTTCTTCCGTGTCCCAGCCAGAGATCTAAGGTCAGAAATAGCTTCATAACATTTTTGACATTTTTTGAAAAACAAAACAAATTAACATCATACGCATCGTACGCATATAAAGCTCTTCTTAATGTGTATTCTGTACTTTTGAATACAATTTATTATTATTATTATTATTATTATTATTATTATTATTATCAGTTGCTAGTTAAATTGGATTATCCATAAAGTAGCAGTATTTAGACGGTATTACTCTACCAAAAGTCTCGTTCGAATGTACCATTTATTTCGTTCTAAGGTAGACAATAGAAGCATCCGCAAACAGAAATCGAATTTTGCAGGGGGAGAACACCAAGAAACATGTGTAATGTATGACATTAGTCTTCTCAGTGACAAGCGAGTTGATTTTTTACGAAGTAATACTGGGTTTACTGTAAGAGAAATCACAAGGATCACTTAGAAGTGGGCGACGACGGTATTGCCCGACGTAGACTAATTTTGTTATTATTAAATCTTCGTATTCTTTCTGGGCACATTTTATAGATACAATTTAAGTAAATGCTCTGTTTTTAATTGAACAGTATTAAGTGCATTTACCTGCCTGAAATTTCTAGAAATTTCGTAGAAAATATGCGTTCTCTGACAAGAATCGAACCTGTATTCCTATACGGAAACAGTCATTTAACCTGACATGCTGTGCCATTCAGCTACAGTGAAGCGTCTGGTTAGCAAAGTTCGAATGACTGCTTATAAACACACAATATTCGATGATTTATTTTTGCTCACGAAACGTATCTAAACGTAAACAGTGACAACATATTTTGAAATGGATTAAATCCGATAATTATTTTAATATATTTTCTGTTTGTGCGTTATTTTTATAGATGCAGTTTAATTAAGTAAATGCTCTGCTTTTTAATTAAACAGTAATAATTAATTAAACACACAATCTTCGAGGATTTATAAACAGTAATTTGGACTTTGCTACCAAAATTTTCTTTCAAATAATTTTTATTTTCTCAATTAATTTCAGTCTCATCTCAGACCATCTTGAGGGAGTTAAATTGTCTGTGTATTACTATATTGATAAAAAAAAGTAATAATAATAATAATATATTTAGTACCACTCCATATAAAAATCAACTAGCAAAAACACATGCACTCTTAACATGTTAAACAAACGCTCATTAACAATCACATTACTAATTACGTTGTTTATGAACTAATTAGACAAGCTATTAGGAATCTAAATAAAAATGAATACAATGAATCATCAAATAACCATCATAAACATATCAAAATATTATACCTTAATCAAATGCATTCTAACTTTAAGCAGGAAGACAAAAATTCCAAAAAAATAAACATTGTAAAGTCTAATGTATCCCCCACTGATCCAAGTAAAACAGTGAGGTTGGTTGTATACTAAATTTAATA